CCAGGAATGAATTTGGGAGTATTGCTTCCCTTTCAATTTCATTGAAGAGTTTAAACAGTAGTGGCAGCAGTTCCTCTCTTAATGTCTTGTAGAATTCATCGGTGAAGCCATCAGGGCCCGGGCTTTTCTAGGTTGATAAGTTTTTAATTACATTTTCAATTTCATCAGTTGATATTGGGTTGTTCAGAATTTTTAGGTCTTCTTCAAGGAACGAACTTTTGATGCACAAAACAATGTGGATATCTCTCAATAAGGTAGTACAGAGTATAAAAAGCTAAAGACAAAAGAGTATATATATATAATGGATATTTATGTGGAGTTCTGGAACAGGCAAAACAACCTATAATCATAGAAATCAAATCAGTGCATACCTAGAACACAGACAGGGCACAGAGTTATTGTAAATTAGCGTGAGGAACTTTGGGGGAAATGTAAATATTCTACATCTCTAGGATCATGTTTGCCTAGTTGTATACATCTGTGAAAACTCAGTGGACTCGCACATTTTATCACATAAATTTTACCTGTATTATCTAAGACCAAAAAGGAAATAAACCAAAGTAAAGGGCTACTCAGTGAGCATAGTAGAGGTGTGAGGGGAGCAAATGGAAGTAAGGGACACTTGGGAGCTGGGGTGAGGAGGCAATAGTGCCCTTATATTCCCCAGGGACGCAGAGCAGCAGAGGGTGACCTCCTCACTTACCTCAGGGAGCATCCTGTTGGCACATTTGCCCTGAACCCTCCCATCTCTTCTCACTCATCATTGTTCAGTGGCTAATTATCTGTGGGCCATGGGGCCCCTAGGCTGAGCAGAAGTGATGAGCTGATTCTCCCCCATAGGATTGGACTACTGGGGCTCCTCTTTCCAGCATCTCACTGTGCCTCCCTTTCTACTTCTAGTACTGCTAACTTACTAGATTGAAGAAAAGGGCTGCATACTATGTCCGGCAGAGCGATGGGGGAGAGTGGTTACCACAGCTGTGTGCACCTCCCAGCTCCAATGCTCGCCAGCTTTGCTTTCCTCTGTGCTATTTCTCCTCTTGCACCTTCCTTTCCTTATCTGAAAGGGAATCTAATTATACTGCCTACGTTTTGAAGTTGCTGTAAGGAGCAGTAAGATTAACATGTCCATGGAATTGAGGTGGCCACCATTTCTCTTGCCTTACATCTAAGCTCTAGTCAAGTTTGAAGGTATGATATTACTCCATAGTTTGCTTGTACTTCTCACTGAAAAATCAAGGGGAAGTTCCCACAGTTCATTAGCTACTTGTCATGGGTAAGTTCCAGCAGTACCGGGGATTGAACTCAGGTCCTTGCGCTTGCGAGGCAGGTGGCGGAACCACTGAGCTAAATCCCCAGCCCCAATAAGGATTTTTTTACACGTAAGTTACCATTTTATTCTTCTCCCACATGCATCAATTTGCACATGTCCAACTTGTTGTTTTACATTGGAAGGGGTGCAGGAGAAATATGGATGCATTTTATTATTCTCTAAAATCCATAGATATGTTTCATACACTCTTCTGTTTGGACAACTAACTTTAAAAGAGAACAAATCTTATCCTCAAGGAGGAAAAGTAATGATGAAGGAAGAAAAACAGAAGAAGAAAAAAAAGAGAGGGCAAAAAGGGAGGCGATAGGTAGCGTGTACCACAAGACTGATGCCTGTGACGGGAAGCGGCTGTGCCATCCACGAACTCGCAGGGCAGCTGTTGCCAGCAAGACCATGGACTTGCTGGGCATCTCACCCCCTAAACAGCATTCCTAAGATTGTGCTCAGAGAAACCTCAGTTCCTTCCTGTTAATTGCCAGGGTGGCAACCATCCCACCCCACCTTTGAGGTCTCCATCTGTGTTCCAACAGGTCTTACACAGCAAAAACAAGTCTCCTGTGATACAGGACACTTGGCTTTCTTAACTCATCCACCCGGATTTCCTCCTTCGCTGTGCAAACGTCCTTCTCCCACCCTCACATTATCTTCAGCTTATTTGCCTTCAGTGCCGTGGGTGCTGACAGTTCACAGGTGCTCCCCAGGGTTCCCGGGATGGAGAAGGACCTGCTCCAGCAGCTTCAACTTCTCCAAACAGGGCTTGACCTGTCAGCTTTGTTTTAAGGGTGGCTCTTCCCGTGACTAAAGACAGGCTGGTACTGACACCGAGGTCAGATGCATGTGATTTGGACTGGATCTTCACATGAAAGATTTTACTATATAGGACATTATTAGAAAAAGCATGACCTGAGTAAATAATAATATCAATGTTGATATTTAGCAATTGCTCTTTTTACTAAAAGAAATTCCATTTTCTTAGAAATGTGAAAAAACTTTGTATATGCCACCCATTCTCCAATAGCTCAGAATAAATATAATTGTGTATGCAAACAAAAAGTTGCACTAACAAAAAGTGGTATATAAGGAGGTTCTTTAACTTATTCTTGCATGATTTCTGTAGCTTTGTATTTTATATAAAATGTTTTACATCTCAAATAGTGGACAGAATTAAGACAGTATTAAAATTTTTAAATTTCTACTTAAACATTTCAATAACGACTCAGTTTGTTATAAATATAAAAATCTTGTTTTTTAATTTCTAAGCCCTGGAAGAAGATAATTGGCCAACATTTTTCATATTATTTTGCCACATTGCATATGTTAAATTGAGATTAGGGATTTTCATTTGTAAGGAAAGCCCTTCATTTAGCTTTTGGGGTGTTTTGCTTTGTTTTTGTTTTTTGGTCTTTTGAGACAAGGTCTCATTTTGTAGTTCAAACTGGCCTTGAATTTACTTTGCAGCCCGGGCAGGCCTTGAACTCACTACAATCATCCTGCTTCAGCCTCCCGAATGCTGAGATTATAGGTGTGCACCCTCATGGCTATATTTAGTTTATTATATTTAGTTTAGTAAATCTTTTTTTTTTTTGAGACAGGGTTTCACTATGCAGTTCAGGCTGAGCTTAAACTCACAATGTAGCCCAAGCTGGCTTCAAACTCACAGTGATCCTCCTGCTTCAGCCTCCCAAGTGCTGGGATTACAGGTGTGCACCACCATGTCCAGCCAATAAATCATATTTTTTAAGGACAAAAGGACAAAGTCAACTAACTAGTCTCTCTGTGGATTGGGTCACTTCATATAGAAGAGAAATCTCTCTCTCTCTCTCTCTCTCTCTCTCTCTCTCTCTCTCGGCACCAGGGATCGAACTCAGGTCCTTGCGCTTTTGAGCCAGGCGCTGGAAACACTGAGCTAAATCCCCGGCCCCAAATCTCTTTTTTAATACAAGTGCTCCATTATCCAATCCATAGTTCAGAATCACCTCATTTATACACAAGAATAAAGTAAATAAGACATGAGTGATTATACAAAATTTATGCCTCAGAACAGAAAACTGTACAGAAAAATTTAATAAGGAAATTCCATGTGAGTTTTATTTGCTAATCCTTTCTAAGTGGACATAATAAGATAATCAGAACTACCATAGTATTCAGGAAAAAATGTTTAGTAAATTATTGTTGAATGAAGGGTGGTTAATTAACTCATATTTCCTACCAGCTGTTTTTGTCCAGAAGTCAAAGGCACCAGTGTGAGGCTCCATTCATTACCTACCACTGATTCCTGGTCTCCTTGCTGTCACTAGAAAACATTTGACCAGGAGAAATAGGGAAGGAGAAGGTCCTACTGGGTAAGCAAAAGCAGAGAAGAAACATCCACCTAACATGGCCTGACAGGCACCTTGGGTGAACTTTTATGAGCCACGTTGAAACACACAGGTCTGACACCCTCATCTCTCCACCTCTGGACAGGAACAAACCATGTTCAACCAAAGCTCCGCAGCAGGCTTCCTCCTTCTGGGCTGCTCCGAACACCCAGGGCTGGAAAAGATTCTCTTCGTGATTGTCTTGCTTTCCTACCTCCTAACTCTGGTGGGCAACACACTCATTATCCTGCTGTCCACCCAGGACCCCAGGCTCCACTCCCCAGTGTACTTTTTCCTGTCCAACCTCTCATCCTTAGGCCTCTGCTTCACCACAAGCTGTGTCCCCCAGACGCTGCTCAACTTTTGGGGCACCAAGAGGACCATCAGCTTCCTGGGCTGCTCTGTCCAGCTCTTCATCTTTCTGTCCCTGGGGACCACTGAGTGCATCCTCCTGACAGTGATGGCTTTTGACCACTACATGGCTGTCTGTCAACCCCTCCACTATGCCAGCATCATCCACCCCCGCCTGTGCCGGCAGCTGGCAGCTGTGGCCTGGGTCATGGGTCTCACCCAATCTACAGTCCAGACACCACCCACCCTCCGCCTGCCCTTCCATCCCCACCATCAGGTGGATGATTTCGTGTGTGAGGTCCCAGCACTGATTCGCCTCTCCTGTGAGGACACCACTGACAATGAGATCCAGATGGCTGTTGCCAGTGTCTTCATCTTAGTTGTGCCCCTCACCCTCATTCTGGTCTCTTACGGTGCCATTGCCCGGGCAGTGCTGAGGATTAACTCTGCAGAGGAAAGCATTTGGGACATGCTCTTCTCACCTAATTGTGGTCACCCTCTTCTACAGTGCAGTCATTGCTTTCTACCTCCAGCCTAAAAATCCCAATGCCCTAGAGAGAGGCAAGTTCTTCGGTCTCTTCTATGCCGTGGTCACTCCTACTCTTAATCCTCTCATATACACCCTGAGGAACAAGGAGGTAAAGAGGGCACTGAGGAGGCTCCTGGGGAGGGATGGGGAGTCCAGACAAAGGTGAGAAGCAGCTTCTCATGTGCTTTGAGAAGAGATTCTGTGTTTCTATCAGGAAGCATGAGTCGGCATCCACCATGCCTCGGCAGTGGAAACCTGGGGTGGGAGTGGAGGAGATGGACTGCAAAGGGAGATAAGTATTTCCATAGGAAACATAAATTTAATATTCTCTACTTTATCTGGGCAATCTTAGTCTCACAATCATGTCCCTGTCACTTCCATTTCTAATTATCCTTCCTTATCTCTCTTTCCTCACCTCTAATTCTGATTCCTCCCTATTGGTTTTGCTCTCTTTTGAGTTTCTCCCACTCATATGTCTGGTTTTCACTCTCATTCTGTTTTATCCCTCAAATATCAGCATCGAGGCCGGGCATTGTGGTGCATGCCTATAATCCCAGCACTCAGAAGGCTGACGCAGGAGGATTACCACAAGTTCAAGGTGAGCCTGGGCTACATAGTGAGTTCAGGGCCAACCTGACCTACAAAGGGAGACCCTGCCTCGAACAAACATACATGTACCAACATTGAGAAGGGAAGCCAGAGCCTATACAAGGTCATAAACTCACCCAACACACAATGTGAGAACTGAAGTCCAGAGCCCATGTACTCCAGGCAAGCAATTCTCAAGCTGTTGTTTTCCCACCCATAACCAAATGTCCCAATATCTGTAGGCTTGAAGCTGGAACACAGCTTTAGGGGGAAACCTTAACTTCAGTCCTAGTATCTTCTTTTACAATACCCACAACCAATTTAGAGGGGAAACATCTTAAACATTTACGGTGCTTGGAGATCTGTACACTGGGGGTCTTTGTTGCCATCTACTGCTCCAATGTGGTACTGCATGAGACATCCCAAACACAACATAAGACCTCTCCAGTGTCATCAGTATGAAATGGCCTCTGCTCAAAGAGAATTATCGCTCTGTTATAAATTACTTACAGTAATTATGACATGACATTCTAGGTACCATTTGAATTAATTTACACACTTTGATGCATTTAATCCTTGTAACAACACTTTGAAGGAGAAAATGTCATAGCTCAGTGGTTTTTCCGCCTGCTGCACAAGCGCAAGGACCCGAGTTCGATCCCCAGTACGAAAAAAAAGAAGAGAAAGATGGTCAAAGACATACAGTATTACCAGCATATATAAAATTACAGAGTGGGGGGCAAATAAAGGATCAAAGAAATACAGAATAAAAGAATAGGCTGGGCACAGTGGTGCACACCTCCAGTCCCAGCACTCAGTAGGCTGAGGCAGGAGGATTGGCAGAAGTTCAAGACCAGCCTGGGCTATACAGCGAGACCTTGTCTCCAAAAGAATAAAGCATGAGTGTCTGAGATATGGGGGAGGAGATTCAGAGGATTCTTCCTAGAAATTTGAACTATGACAAAGAGAACAAAACTAATTTGAAATAGTTGCTGATTTACTGTGTGAAAAGGGCCAAAGGCAGGAATATGTGTGCTGTGAATTAAGACAGAAGTGAAGAAAAGTTATACCAGGAAGCCAAAATATAAAGGAAGAAGGTGGATTACTTTAGAAAGACATAGAAGCCACTGAACCATATACAATGCAGAAAAAACTTTTAGATCTTATAAATGCAGGCACTTACCCACCTAATACACTTGAGTTGGAAGCATCAGAGATGGTATTCAAGAACCTCATGCCAGACACAGGAGCACATACCAGTAATACCGACCACTGTGGAGGCTCAGGCAGAGGGATCACAAATTCAAGGTCAGCCTGGTCAACTTACCAAAACCCTGCCTCAGAATTAAAAACTAAAGTTTAAAAGTCTGGAGATGTAGCTCAGTGGTGAAGCACTTGCTTAACATGTGCAAGGCCCTGGATTCAAACCCCAGTACTGCAAAATAAAATAAAAGATCCATATGGTGGTGCATGACTGTAGTCCCAGCAGTCTGGGAGGCTGAGGCAGGAGGATGCTAAGTTGCAGCCCTGGGCAACTTAGCAACTTAGCAAGACCCTTCTCAAAAACATAAAGGGCTGGGATGTTGTTGAGTGTGAAGGCCCTGGATTCAATCCCCAGTACTGCAGATAACAATAACAGCAATAATGAACCAGCTCTGAGTTTGGGTTGCTATCCACGGCTGGTTACCAGTTCACTTCTGAAAGGCTTACTGCATCTCAAACAGATAACAACAAGCAGGGCACAGCTCCTGATGGATCCCTCCAGCATCCCTGCGGTTCCCCTGTGCAGATTTGGTATTCCTTAAAGGGCACCAGAACCAAGAGAGTATGTGAAGGTGCAGATTCCCAATGATGAATGGCATTGTATTGTATACCTACAATGTACCAATAAAATGAAAATTTTTTTTAAAAAAACGGGTACTAGAAATGTGCCTCTTTAGCGTATGGGTTACTGTGATCCAATGGACTAGAGAACCAGTGGACTAGAGAATACTCTCAAAATGGGACATAACTAGCCCTTTCATAAATGAAATGTATATTTGTAAAGTTGTTGGGTTTGTTTGTTTTTGAGACACTTGGGCTCAAATTTGAGATCCTCCTGCCTCAGCCTCCCAGAGTGCTAGGATTACAGACATCCACCACCACACCAGGCTAGGGGCATAATTTTTATCAATGGAAAAAGCATCAGCTTAAATCTGCATAACAAACTTTGCTAACAGACTTTACCATACTTTTCCTGGTCACTGTCCCCAGCTTCCACTCTACCCAACCACCTAGAAACCCAAAATCCCTTCTTTGTGTAGCCCACAGAGACCAAATTGTGGCTGGGGGTATAGGCCAGTGGTAGAGCACTTGCATGCTTAAGGCCTCCAGTTCAATCCTCAGTACCACCAGAAAAAAAAAAGAAGGAGGGAGAGGAGCCACCCCCTGGGTTACTCATTGTATACCATGTGCACGTGCATGAAGCACATGTTAATGAACTTCCTTGTTTTTATGCCAATCTGCCTTTAATTCACAGGGCCTTGGCAGTAGAACATCAGCTGTGTGGAGGAAAGTATGTCTCCCTCCCAGATGTCCCTGACACACACTTGAAGATGCAGCTAAAATGCTGCATGAATGTCCCTCACAAACATCCCGGGCAGGGCTCAGCCCACACGGGCTCCATTCATGTCCCATTGCACTGCCCCTGGTGCCTGGGCTTCTCCTGCGGGAGTCTCCAAAGTGCTTCCTTGCCCTGAGAGCCACACCAGCAGATGCCATGATGGTTAGTTAAGCATGCTGGTATCATCTCTTCTGGGGGCAGGTGTCACCTGACACGATGCCTGTGTTTTTCCTCTTAAGTTAATGGACCATGGAGAGCAAAGTAACACAATTCCCTGCTCCAAAAGCCTCAGTGAATAAGCAGGTTCCTGTCCCAAGTGGCCTAAAATCAACAGAGGCAGTGGGAGGAGCCCCAGTGGGCAGGATTGTCTTCAATATGGAAGGCAGAAAGGTTTAGGTGTGGAGCAACAGCTGACCTTGAAGCTGTCCAAGAAATCAAGGACCTGGTAAAAAGGTTCAATGCCAGCAAACAGATAAGAGTAGGGATGATCAACAAGAAGAGCAAACACTGGCTTTGGAGTAGGTAAATTATTTTCCCAAAGAAACCCAGGTTTATCCTATTTTACATACACTGTTTTTGCAGTGTGAGTCTTTCTACCTCTAGATCCGAGCACAGCCTGTAACTACCCAGTCCCATGGAATATGGCAGAAATGACACCACGTGACTTCAAAGGCATTGTCAGAAGAAAGATCAACAGCTGACTCCCAGCTCTCTCTCTAAACACTCACCTTTGGGATCCAGTCGCCACATTACGAAGCCTTCTAGGCCACATGGTGTATGTGCTGCCGAAGTAAGCACAATTCCAGGCCACATGGAAAAGCCATGTGTAGGGATTCCGGCCCCCGGGTCTCACTCAGCTGAAGTCTCAGCTGGGCCATTATCCACCTGTAGATCCTGAGAGAAGGGGGACTCCTGGGAAGATGGCAGAGTGGTGGTGAGCAGCAGAGAAAAAGCCTCTCCGAGATTTGGTGTCCTGACACTGAAATACAGCAGCTGGAGGAGGCAGAGGGAAGCGTTTCCCCGGGACCCAGGAAGGATCTGAAGTTAGAACTGAAGTCTACAGGGGGATTGGGGAGAGAGAGACTAACAAAGAGGAGAGGGTGCCAAGCAGCGCTTTCCCCAGTGGCCAGACTCTCCTCAAAGGGACAAGGGATGGCAGCTGAACCTGCAGACTCAGTGACTACTGACGACCCCAGAGGCCTCCACAGAGAAACGCACCACTCCAACGGAGCACTGGATGCCCCAGACTGCAGCAGCTGGTGAGTTATCCGGGTCCAGACCTCACCCAGGAGAGGGAGACTGGCTGGCAGCCATCTTGGAGAGGGGCCAGTTGAGCTCAGAACTCAGAATAGCTGTGGGTGGACTCCATCTAGTAGCTCCCAGTGCCTTGGTGTGGGTGCTAAGTTCAAGCCAGCAGGAGACACACAGACCATTCTAGGCTCAAGGAATCCAGCTCCAGCCTCATATTCAGAAACCGGCCTGAACTTCAGAGGAACAAAAGGGGCAGTTGGCTGGGATTACCCACTACCCCACCATGAAGCTGCAGCTAATTTGCTGGGATTAATCAGTTTGGCTCTGGACTCTGCCCACATTGCCGAACTGTGACAGCAGAGACAAACCTTGAATTGGACATTCGGGGGGGGGTTCAATCTTTTTTTCTTTTTCCTTTTTTCTTTTTTTCCTCCTTTCCAGTTCTTGTTTTATATTTTTCTTGATTGTTAGATACTGAGAGAAGGACCCTTCACAAGACTCTAGCACCCAGGCTTTAAATCTTCGAGCTGTAACAGAGCAGGGGAAATGCTCCCCACTGTGGCATGCCTAAATTTCTGACCCCCAGGGACCATGAAAACTAACAGGTAGAGCAGTAATCAATAATAATGCACACATTAGGAAGCCAGGTGTGGCAGTGCACGCCTGTAACCCCAGCACGTGGGCGGCTAAAGAATGCGGCAGGAGGATCATCACCAGTTTGAGGCCAGCCTGGACTGTACAGTGAAGTCAAGGCCCTCCTGAAGCACATGGTGAGACCCTGTCTCCAAAACCCAAGATGATGATCATGACGATGATGATGGCGGTGGACGTGGTGGTGCACCAGCACACAGTGCAAACCTGGCTCTACTCCTTAGGAGCTTGCCGGAGTCCAGCTCCAGTGGGTTCAGGTCCCGAGAGGAGGTGTGGAGTGACGAGAGAATGAGACAGACACTGAGTGGAGGGTCGGCAGCTCAACTTGCCTGTCTGAGTTATACCAAAATCACTTTACTTATTTATGTTTTGATTACACAAGGCTTTGGTAAGCACGTGGGTCCATACACAGTGTGTTTTCACACAGAGTTAAAGAGCAAGCTGAAATCATCTAAAAAACTATTTTAGACCAGCCAGTTCTAGATACTCTTCCCGGTGCTACGTGAACCCTTGCTAACTTATCAGATTTACTTTTAAGGAACAAAAAGCATTTTAGAAAGGTCAGGCTACCTCATTAGGCCAAGTTTTGTCAGATCTCATTGTTGTGTGCCCTGCGGGTGTTGGCCAAGGGCGACCAGGTGCCAGACCGTGGGACGCCTGCGTCATGAATTGGTTGATGTCCCAGTCTCCCTCTGTGCAGTCAGGGCATGTGGAGGTCACGTCCCCACTACTCGTGGAGGTAGGAGTGAGGGGCTTTTCTGTAAATGGATCTACAATTTCTTCCTGTAATCCCGGCCTAGTAACCATTTCCGAAGCACTGACTTTTATCCTCTCAGTGATTTCCAGGGAGCACAGCACTGAGGGAATCACTACCGCGGAAAGCGAAAGCAAAGGATGGAGTCGTGGTTTCAGCCATAGTCTCAGTGTCACCGGAGCTGTGTCAAGCAGCGAGATTGTGACCATGGCCTGCACCAGGAGCTGCAGTCTCCTTGCCAGATAATGAACCTACTAACTTCGCCCACCCTCAGAGTTGTCCTGAACACCAGAGCTAACAACAGAAATGTCCATTACCCCTGGTTCCTGTTTAAGTGGTCTTGTCTATTTGTTCATCTGCTTACTGGTCATCATGAACCTATCTTGAGAACACACAAAAAAGCATCCCCCAAAAGTCATCTTGCTCACTGCTCTGCCCAAGTGCCCGCTCAGTAATGTGCCTAACACTTGTCCATAGACTGCAAGGACTGCAGATGCTCACCGAGTGCTCTCTGCAGAATGGTCTAAGTGACTGGGACTGGGGGAGGGGCCAGACCAACACGGGGAAGAGAGGAGCACCATGGGCCGGCAGGCAGTCAGGAGAAGGACGTTTCAGAGTCTGAAAGGGACCTGAAGCCTGAGGGTAACCCTACCCTGAGGCGGCTGTGGCAAGGTAGGGCCTGCCTCACAGTGCCAGAAGAGCAACAGTAGCAGCCTCACCACCCAGCACCCACCCCCTCCCTCATGCCCTCTGTACCCAGCTGCTTGGCCAGCCCAACCATTTGCCCCAACTCCTAGCTTCCTGCTCACACACACTACCTGACTCACCCTTTTCCACAGTAGAACTTTTGACCCTTTATTTATAATTACATCCCACCTAAGTCCAATGCAAGTATTTAGGTTCTATCCAGGACTGGCAGAAAGCTCCTGCTTTCTGAAGCCAACTGTTCATTTTTCACACAGCAGGCTTCTGCACTCCATAGGCTTCTTCCCTTTCCCCTAAGAATATTCCACTATGGGAAGAAAGGAAACCCAAATTAAATACAATTGGCCCAAGGGAGATAATTATAGTGAAATGCTTTCCAGATACTGACTTAAGATTTAACCTACCCATACACAGGACAATAAAATGACAGGCCCTATCCAACCCTGCAGCTCTTATGCAAAAAGCAAGTGAGAATCACTGAAAACTCAGTACCAAAGTGAACTTCAAAAACGAACAGCATCATAGCTCAGTGATGCCATACCTGGCAAGCACAAGGTTCTGAGTTTGATCCCTGATACTGCAAAAAAACAAAAAAAAGCACATCACCAAAAGGACCCAAAAAAGTATAAAATTCCAGGCAAATTGTTTTCTCCCTCAGCCATTCAAAACACTTATTTTGATCACAAATTCTTCCCAACACGTTGAGAGTTCCTTAGGCAAATATTTGTGTGGTTGGAGGCACTCGGGTCATCTCATCCAAAACCTTCAAGCAGTCATCATTCCTTTGTTGTTCTTACTTCCTTGAAAGGAACCCACACATCTGTTCAGCCACCTGGATGAACAGGCTTCCAGTGCATGCCTGCTACGGTACAGAATCCATCGAACACCAGTGACAGAGGTTAGCAGTTACCCCACATACACCCAGGGCCAGCACAACCCAGGTACCTGAACGAACCATCCACTCCTTGCATCCATTTTTTGGTTTTTGGGTTTTGGGTTTTTTTGGTACCAGGGATTGAACTTGGGACCTTATGCTTGCGAGGCAGGCACTGGAACCACTGAGCTAAATCCCCGGCCCTTTGCATCCATTTTTTGGAGGAACATGTGGTTATCGTTATGATTTGTATTCTTTATTCTTCATAAATAAGGACATGAAGACCACCAAGAGATTCTTACCTTTTTTTTTTTTTTTTCCCCCTGTACCAGGGATCAAACTCAGGATCTTGCACTTTCCAGGCTGGCATGGCACCACTGAGCTACATCCCTGGCCCAAGAAAATTCTTGCACGTGGTTGGATCTGACACCCTAGCCATCTGACTCCAGAGCCCACTGTTTTAACCACTAATATCATCACTCTCTCATCTCAGCCTTAGTCATGTCCTAAGTCCTTAATGGGTCAATAAAACATCTCTTTCCACCCCTTCCCTTCACAGCCTCTTTGGTAACTGGAACCCTCTGAGCCTCCCTCCTTGGACTGGAACCCACCATTCACAGAACAGAGAGTAAGGTGCTGAGTCACACTGTCCACTGGTTTATTGAGATTCAGGGAGATCCTGCCCCAAGAGACACCAATGTGAAAGGGACACCACCCATTGCCCCATCAGTCCATCTGTTCATTCCAATGGCCTGAAGTGCCTCCCTTTGGTCAGGATTCTCATCATCTATCCACTGGAAGCAGCTCTCCCAACCTGCCCGTTCCTTTACCCTTGGTCCCCAAACTTACACACAGTGAAAGGGAGCAGTCCTGGGGGAAGATGAGTGTTGAGTGTAGACTGCGGGTGACAGGATGAGTGCAAAGCACAGACCAGAAACACCTGAGCAGGCACTGAGTGTAGGAGGGAGGAGTGTGGGTGCCCCAGCAAAGAGAATTAGGGCAAAGTGCGTGACAATGCACATAGTTCTGTTGAGAGAACACAGCGATCTTTAGGTGAGAAGAAGAAAGCAGGCAAATGTGGATGTGTGTGGTAGGAAGACACAGCTCATGACCCACACACAAGGGCAGACCTGTGCCCACGAGGGGCATGCAGAGCTAGTGCAGGGTCCACAGGAAGCACATGGAACCACAGGTGAGAAGGCTCAAGGGAAGAGCAAGCGTGCACAGCAGCATGCCCCGTGGGCACAAGCAGGAGAGGGGATAAATGTGTGCTGGGAAGCAGGAGCTCACTCACAGCGGCCTTGGTGAGAAGAGTGAGCCCTCAGAGGAAAGAAATGTGAGGAGGGAAAGTGGAGGGGAGGAGGTTATGAGGGCGAGAGAAACAGAGGCCCCACTGGGGTGGGAAGCGCACTTGTGTGGAGACCCCTGCTGACAGGAGGCCGAGAGACCAGAGGCTGCCGGTAAGAAGACAGCAGTGCGCTGTGGAGGCAGAGAAATGGCCCGGCTGCCAAGGAGTCCCGCGAGGGGCTTTTCATGAAACACGACTGAGTTCTGAAGTGACGACACAAGATCACATGAATGAAGAGGACAGGAAAAGGCCTATTTCTCAGCGTTCCGGAGACCCAAATAACCCCAGGACTCCAGAGGCACAGGTGTTTAAGGCCTGGTCGGGCAGCGCGTTCCCCTGACTGCGGACGGAGACGCCTGCTTCCTCCAGCCTCCCGCCCTCCCACCCTCCCACCCCTACGGCTGCTCCCTGGTGCCCCTCACTTGTAGAGCAAATGGACTCGACTCCCATCACAGCTAAGCCGGTCGGGGGGCTCGGGGGGGCCCCTGGCTGGGCCTCCAGAAGGGTCTGGGGGCGTCGGGGGGTGGCGCCGGGAGCGAAGCTGCTGCCGAGACTGGAGCTGGTGGCGCAGCTCGGAGACCCGCTCCTCTTTCTGGAGGAAGAAACACAGTTGGGAGGGCAGAGGGGAGGTTGAGGGGGTGGGGGGAGAGGGACGCGCAGAAGGGGGTGAGTTAATAGCAGCCAAGAGGAAGAAGCCACAAAAGAACCAAGAAAGTCACAGAACATAAGGGGGCGCCAAAGAAGTCAGAGAAGTGAGAAAAAGGGTTAAAGAAAAAGAGAAAATGAAGGAGAAAGGAGTCAGTGCAGAGGCTCCAATAAATCACAACAAGGTTTGTGTCGACCACCCAGGACTTCCCCATCCCCGACACTGCTCTGCCCGTAACCGCCACGCGGGGCGGCACAGACGCGCGGGCGCTGCCCCGCCCCTCCCCTGTGCGTGCCCTTGGCATCAGGCTGCTGTGAATGCTGCCTATTAATGGCTCACAGCAGCCTCCTAATTGCTGCCCGCTGCCAATGCCCACCCTCCTGCTTTCGGAGCACTGAACCAACAGTTCAATTCCCACTGCAGAGCTGCCTCCATCTGATCAGGCCAAACTAGATCTTACCTAAGGCAGAATCTCGCTCTGCCCTGTCCCACTGCACGAACTCCTTTGCAGGCTTTTTCTGAGGCCCTCCCTTCACAAATCACAAATCCCGGGCCTTCTATTTTCGGCTCGACTCACCCAGGAACCCACCCAGGAACCCACCCAGGAACAGCACAGGTCTCTTGGGCCCTGCCCCTGCCACACACCTCAGCAACGACCTTTTCCAGTTCGCGGTTCTCCTTCTCCAAGAGCCGGGCCTTCTCCTCCTCGTTGTTGTTGGTCGACGACCCTGTCTTCATGGTGTCCTGGGCCTCCGACTGCCACTCACCTCGGGTGATCAGCCTGCGCATCTGGGGACAAGCATGTAGGCAGGGGCAGCAGAGCAGGGGCTGAAGCCAAGGTAGGAGTGGAAGCAAGGTGCAGTGAAGGGCAACAGACAAGTGTCCTGGAGAGAAAGGATAGGGCACCAGGGAGGGCGGGCAGGTGGGTGAAAGGCCAGAAAATTACCTTGGGCACAAACAGCACAACCAGAGTGATGTAGGAGGAGAAGACGATGGCGAGGGCGGCAAAGGCAAAGGCTGCGTCCTGCTGGCTGCTCAGGATCATGGTGACAGGGGCGGTAATGAGGCACAGGACCTGAGGACAGAGCATGTGCGCAGACAGATCCACGGCCTGAGGTGGAGCCCAGGGTTTCCCTCCCTGTGACGGACAGAGGCTACAAGCACAGGGTGCTGGGGAACCTGCCGCCAGCACAACCATCCTCCACTCTGGACTGAGAGAAATCCCAAATACACCAGCCTAAGCCAGTTCTCCGCTCGAGGCCAAACTGTCCCGAAGGGCAGGAACTCCCAGAATCTCTTCGAAGAAAAGCGCAGTCTCTGGGGATATCTGCTGTTCAGATTTCATCCCACGAGCCACAAACAAGCAATCTGACAATTCTGTTTGTCTCCTCACCCGCAAGATGGGGCTACTAACATCTACTTCACTAGGCAGTTGCAATGAAATTAATGATTAGAATGCTGTGGGACATTGTATAAAGTGCTTAATAAATCAAACATTAACAGGCTTTTGAAGGCCTCCGTGCCATTGATTCCAGAGCTAGTGTGCGACTCTTCCCAGCACACCACACCTGGGGCGCTGTTCAGCCTATGGGGTCCGTGCCTGGAGTCCGGGGAGCTCACCGCCACATTGTAGATGGCCATGCCCACAGCCCTGTGGTCGTTGATCTTCTCAGTGGATACACTTTTGGTCTCATAAGCAAGAAAGATTCCCAGCAGCAGCAGCAGGCCCTTATACCCATAGAAAATACCTAGAGAGGCAGCAAAGGGTCACTTGGGCATCCAGGCCTTCCACACTTCTCTCAGTCCTCATCCTCTCTCTCTGCCTTTCACCTACCACTCCTCCTGTAGCTCCACAACAGGAAGGGAGCCTTCTTCTCCAACCCAGCTCCTCTGACCTAGTACACTGCTCCCTGTGACCAACCCTGGCCTACATCCAAAGGCCAGAAGCACTATCTCAACAAGTTGCTTTGTCACTAGACTTTATCCCTCCTCCTGGGATGAGGAATCCTGAGTCATACAGGAAGGTGGTGGTCATCGGGCAGCTGTCAGTTAGGCAAGGGCCAGCTGAGCACAGATAATGGGCCAGGGCAGACAACACACAATGTCTCAGCTCTTCCCCTCCAGGGAGGAAGATGGACTATCGGGCTGAAAGTGCGGTTGCTGTTTGAAGTTGTAGATCAGAGCAATGTTAATAAGCTGACAGGGAGCCCCAAAAGACCAACCCTCCTCTATTCTCAGAGAACAGCAGGGACATTCAAACTGGGCTCACAAGCTCTCCTGGATCTCTCTCGAAGGCACTTCTCCTTCCAGACCCCAGTTCTCTCCCACGCCTCCTTCCCTCCTGGCCCCACATCCCACACACCAAGCCACGTATTCATCTTCTTGGAGCTGCAGTGCTCCAGCTGGGGCAGAATAGAGACATCAATGTCTTCCTTTGGCTCTTCCTTGGCAAAAGTCTAAAGAAGAAATAGGACCACAGGAAAGATGGCTTCCATCCCCGCCTGCCCTCCCAGCTCTATCTGACCCCAACCCTGCCAGCTTTCTTAAGAGATCATCAATACTGACGCCAAGTTCTGCTCCTCTGGACCTGGAAACATTTCCCCGAACTCACTCGAAGTGCTCGTTCTCTACTCTCCCTAATGCCTGAAATTCTGTACATCTTCCCTGATCCCCACCACTGCAATTCTTCTGATGAGTCCAGAGGCTCTGACAGGGCTCCTTCTAGGAGGGACAGGAAGAGCCACTACCAGGCAGAAGGCCACAAGCACCATCTCAACGAGCTGCTTTGCCACTAAAGACCACACGCAGCCTTGAGGGCTCCAATAGCCAGTGAACTTCCTTGGCCTCTTGACAGCAGCACCTCCTCTCAAGCAATACCTCGATGGTCCGGTGCAAGGGGTCCACGATCTGCCAGACGGCGAGAGTAAGGACATCCAGGCCCACCAGCAGGCCCACCGTGGAATACAGCTTCCAAGGCTCCAGAGTCTGAGCAAATGTTCAGAGCAGGCTGGTCAGAGGAAAATGCTCAAAGCCAAGGAACCTAGGAGCAGGGGCCAGGGATGGTAAACACTCACCTTCCTCCATTCCTTCTTCTCTTCCTTCTTTGTGAAGACTGTGTGGACCCACCAGATCTTGGTGAACATGGAGCCATAGCCCAGACTAAAGCCCAGGCCCAGGAGCCAGAGGCGGGCCTGGAAGGGGAGAGAGGCACAGGCAGAACAGGGCGGGCAGTAATGGGCTGTGATGAGGATGGACAGGGTTGTAGGAGGCAGCATGAGCAGGAAGCAGATGACGAGGCAGGCAAGACACAGCCAGTAGAGGACACAATGTACACAAAGGCAAGGGCAGGGTAGAAGACGGCCTCCTCACCTTCAGCAATGCCCCTAGCACCCACCTTCTACACAACCAGTGTCCTCTCACTGAAATCTCCCGACCCCGCCCTAATGCCTGCGGGTTGCACCTGAGCACTGTCCCAGCTCCTCTCTACACTCCAACCATGCTGAACTGTCTTGGCTAGTTTCCGGGCTTTGCTAGCTACATTACGTTCCCTCTACTCTGGAGTAATCTTTCCTCTATTTCCCCAGCTAGCAAATTCCTGAGCATCCTTTGACGTGCATTTCCTTTGGGCGGCCACTCACCCACTCCCACTGTGAGCTGCTTCCCTTCTTTGCTCCCACGGCACTTTCTGCCCATCTCTAGTCTGTTACCCTCCTACCGCACTGCAGCTAGTTGTCTGCTGCTAGAGCTGCACTCTGATCTCACTGGGAACAGATAGTTCCCAATGAACTGTACGCACCTGTGTGTGCAAATGCCATGTGCATAGTACACGATCGAGCCAGGTACCGGTCACAGGAGAGAGTGCAGGCAGGCAGAGTTGGGGAAGAGTGCGTGTTGCCTACAGCACAGCAACCGCTCAGGCACCACTGCTAAAGCCAGACACTGCCCACAACCTTCTGGATACCCACAATCCAGGAGGCCTCCTCCTGTGTGACAGTGCTCCTCCCTCCCTTACCCCCACCCCAGATTTCTCTGGGGTCAGCTTAGCTTCTCCCGTCATCCTTCCAAATCCAAGCTAGGCTCCCACGGGAAGCACACAGCCCTGCCTCAGCCCCCAAACACAGACAAGCCACCATTGTCCAGGAGCTCTTTGTGTAAGTGCTCTTCCTTCAGCTCCAGGCCCTCTTCCTCGTCTCTGCAAGCCATGCCATGGCAACCTCAGAAATGGACAGTGAACTACAGAATGGAAAACATCTGGAGGCCCAGAAAGAAGGGACAAAGACAGAGAACTGGGGGTGGTCTCTGGAGGAAAGAGTAAGGACAAGAGTCAGGGAGAAATGAGAAGGGAAGGTAGAGGGCCGTACATCATGGAAAGTGCTCCTGACGGGTGAGAGCCACTTTCCATGAGGTGTCTGCCCACCCCTCCTCACCTGGCAGACAAAAGGGAACTGGTTCCTCCCGATGTGGTAGCCATCCAGCCCAAGGGGGAAGACAGCAGCTAATGCCAGTGAGCAGCCCACAGCAGTCAGATTGTTCAGGTTAGGCTGTGAGTTCTGGATGTAACTAGGGAAGAGGTGGAGAGGATGGCAGAGGGACAGCTCAGCTCTCTAAATGCCATGCAGTGACATGACCCCACTGAAGGGCCACAGGACTATAGGAAGATGGGCTTGAAGCGGGTGGCAGGGTCCTGACAGAGTCGGCTTGGTCACGGGGCCGGAGATGGAGCGGGAGGCTTCTCCAGCACAGAACCCCACCGGAACACACCTTATGCAGAGCTCAGGACTCTGTTACCCGGCCCCAGTGCCTTTCGTTTTGTTTTATTTGGGGTTTTTTCCAGTTGGTTGCCTTGGAGCAGGGGTGGGAGCTACAACTGCTTTCTGCCCTCACATTCTCAGTAGGTCACAACAGAGCCCTCAGTGACGCAGCCCTGGGAGTTACACAGGTTTTACTCTCTCTCCCTCCAAAGAGCATGAGCACTACCCTGGAGAGGCAGACGGGAGAAGGGTCACGCCCAAAAAGAAACTTACCGGACGTGAGAGTTGTAGATGTTAAACGACAGACAGACAACAGCTAGAACAATCCCCAAGCTGGAGAGAACCGAGACGGAGATGAAGAGTTTCTGCGACAGGAAGCGGAATGTCTTGATGACCAGGGTCTGGTCGGCCGGGGGGGTCCCTCCTGCACAGCACAGGGCACAGAGTGAGGAGGAGAGAAAAGAAGACAGAGAAGTGCGGGTGGATAGGAGAAAGGGCAACGGACAAGGCTGCTGGTGGACGCTCACTCTTTGGCTGGCAACAGGCAGCCCTGACTGACACTGGGGCCCTCAGGAAGCAACGGGAAATAAGATGAGAAGATGAGGGGCCGGGGATTTAGCTCAGTGATTCCGGTGCCTGCCTCGAAACCACAAGGTCCCGAGTTTGATCCCTGGTACCGAAAAAAAGGGAAAATGGGCGAGGAAAGAGGGGACTATCTGAGAAATAAGCTTTATGAGCTCTTTTGCAAATAAAAAGTTGCAAAGAACTATAGCCAGGTGTGGTGGCACAAGCCTGTAATCCCAGCCCTCAGGAGGCTGAGGCAGGAGGATCACCACAAGTTCAAGGCCAGCCTGAGCTACATAGCGAGACCCTATCTCAAACAAAAACAAAACAAGACAATTAATTACAGAATCAGAAAGCAAAAAAAGCCTCACTATATATTTAGTGTGGTCTCCTAACCTCAGGCAAAACAGAAAGAAACTAATCTGAAATTTTAACCATGATAGGATGATAGTCCCAAATGTGTTTTATAGTCATTATTAAAGGAAGTTCAAATTTGTCAGAGTTCACTAAAAAGCCTAATTTCAATTTGCTTAAAAAGACAAAAAAAGCTAATTTAGGTCATGCAGTATTTATAGCAGTGCAGAACCCTGTCCTAAATTCCAATAGAGACATAAAAAGCAAACTCCAGCAGTGCCAGGAACGGCTGGGTTCACCAGTCAGGGCAGACAGCTGCTTTCAGTGGCTGTTACCGCACACCCTGCAGCTGCTGAGCCTTTCTTCTATCACAGAGCCTCTGCCCACCTGCACGTCTTTCCCACTTATCCTATAGCCCTGGGCCAGGGATTTAGCTCAGTGGCACCGTGCCTGCCTCATAAGCATAAGGTCCTGAATTCGATTCCCAGGACCGCTAAATAAATAAAACATTTAGCCCTTCACATACACCAAGAATAATTGCTTGCTTTCCCTCTTTAAAAAGCACATAGGGTCAGGAATGTAGCTCAGTGGTGCCGCCCCTGCCTGGCAAGCCCAAAGCCCTGAGTTCGATCCCCGGTACTGGGGAGGAAAAAAAAAGCACATAGCACCAGGTGTGGTGGTTGGTACATGTCTGCAATCCCAGCCCTCAGGAGGCTGAAGCAGGATCACCAAGAGTTCAAGGCCAGTCTGAACCATATACCAAGATCCTGTCTGAGAAAAACCAACTAAATAAATGCATATCACATAATAAACAAAAAAAATGCACATGGTAAAGGTTACAATATTATTTTGCATCTTCTCCTATCATTTAAATAACCATTTTCCTGACCAAGAAAGACAGAAAGGTAGCTCTAGGCTTGAAGTAGTTGGTTAGATGTATCAAGGCACCAGGACATCCAGAAAGCCAAGTGGAGTTTCCCTTTCCCGCCCTCTGCCTCACCCCCAGCGACCCCAGCAGTGTACTGTCCATCTGCGCCCTCTCCAGATACACCAGCTTACCCCAGCCTTGCCTCTCAATCCTGCCCCAACCCAGCTTCCGCTACAGCTTCCCTGCAGCACACCCCACCCCGCCTTCACCAAGTGCATGGCCATTTCCTCCACTACAGAAGCTGCAAATAAAGGTAAGTGGAGAACTTACCAATCCACTTATCTGTTTTGGACCAGGAAAGGTCATCCTTGGTGCTGTCATAGTAGCCGATCTTCTTGTAGCTGCCACCTGAGTGGATGACAACAGGAGAGGCCAGGGGTAGCTGAACAGCCACCCTAGGAACCCTCATGCCCACAGCCACATCTGATACCACCCTCATCTGGCCAACTGAGAGATGCTAGCAAGAGACCTGGGGGTTGCTTGGATCAGCAGCCTTACATGTGGGGCTCCCCGGATGTCAGCAATGAATCGGAACATCCTATGTAGCTAACATCTTCCTTGAGAAAGGAGCCACATTACGTCTGCCACATACGCTGCTGGCTCGCGCCTCTCTTGCCAGGGTGTCTCTCACTTTGCTGCTGGCTGAGAAAGCTTGCAACATATTTCTGCTTATTCTTTCGCTCATGATGGACAGAATCACAGGATCCATTTTCCCAGTGGCTTTCATCTTAATTTTAGAAATTTGTCTCTTGTTGGCTTGGGTTCTAATTCCTTGGATAAGTTACATCTGCCTCTTAAAGAGCCACTAAAAATTCAGTCACTCTAAGATTTCTGTGCTAAGACTGTCCCAGTTGACATAGCTTTTCTTTCAAAAGCCAATTCAGACCCTTTTTGCTATGGCTGAAGTCCATTCCCTTTTATGTGAGATACAAAGAAGAGCTGAAAGGACTGTGGGAGGTGGGAAAACAGGAAAAAAGAAATGTTTCACAGGAGGGCAAGAAATGGGTCTTTCAGTCATGCTATATGAGGCTGACAGTGGGGATGAGTTGAAATGTAAATTCACAGAAATTTTGCAAATACATAAATGTGCTAATTTATAAGAAAGTACAATCTAGGGCTGGGGATGTAGGTCAGTGACACCACACCTGCCTCACAAGCACAAGGTCCTGAGTTTGATCCCCCGTACCAAAACAAAAAGAAAGTACAATCTAGAAAAGTGAAACTATAGATAAATTAGGAATTATAGGCTGGATGTGGTGGTACACACCTGTAATCCCAGCACTTGGGAGGCTGAGGCAGGAGGATCACCCCAAAAATCAAAGCTAGCCTGGGCTACATACAGTACCAAGACCCTCTCAAAAAAAAAAAAAAAAAAAAATTAGGGATTATAGTGCATACCACAAGGAAATTCAATAGATTCCCTTAAAAAATAGCAGGTCTCCTAGTTAGATTTCTTTGCATCTTTTTTGGGGGGGCGGGCAAGGGGGGAATACTGAGAATTGAACTCAGGGCCTTTGCACTGGGCTACATCCTGAGTCCTTTATGTATGTGCGTTGAGATAGTCTCACTAAGCTGCTAAATTACCTGGGTTAGGCTCGAACTTGGGATATTCCTGCCTCCTAGACTGCTGGGATCAGAGGCATGCGCTACCATTCCCAGCTTCTTGCATCTCTGAGAATGCAATGACAGCTCTTTAACCCTTCAGCCTGGCTTCTGAGGAAAATTTCTGAAACTAAAATAGAAGCCACCAAGAAAAGAAAACTTGTTTCTAATTCTCAGGCCCCCTTTAAAGAACACAACCACGGTGAGTAACCTGCTCATACCTAAGCTTTTTATTAGTATTATTTAAAAGTTTGTTTGAGCACAGTTAAAAAGAAAAGGGCAGAAGAGGGAAACAGCAGGCAACCTGGAGATGTCTCCTTACGTGTGGGGACCCCCACTTCCCTGCTTACCCTGTAACTGCTCAATAAGTGTCCAAGCCATCCGGGAGCCACTTGCATCAAACACCACATGGCCCTGAGAGGGACAAACGTGGAGGAAGGCAGAGGGGATAAAAGCAGGAGTGAAAAGAGAACACCGAGGACGCTGAACCCTCCCGGTTTGGATGTGACTGAGCTTCTGAATGAATGCTATTTAGGGCATTTGCCTGCATATGGGACATGGCCCGGATGCCCACACCCTAGATTTCAGGAACAGTATTCTTCTGAGAAGAAACTTCACCCAGGAGAACTGAATGGGAAAGATCCCCAGACAGAGGTATGAGACCTGGCCTCCAGTTGTGTGCCCTGAGCAAGTGACCAAACCCCACTGGGCACTAATTTTCTCACTCTAAAAGGAGTAAGGAGATGAACTTCCAGGTTACTCCTCTTTTAAAAATCTTCCAATTCTCATCTGACTCTAAGTACCTAGACGTTTTTAAGAAGAAGTGAGGAAAAAGGTAGAAAGAAACAGAATACACCATGCTGTTCCTTGTAATCTCTTGGCAGAATTTTCCTATTTAAGGGTCTCTCCTCTCCCAGTAGGAGAATGATTTTTTTTTTTTTTTTTGGTCCCGGGGATCAAACTCGGGACCTTGTACTTCCAAGGCAGGTGCAGGAACCACTGAGCTAAATCCCTGGCCCCTGGAGAATGATTTTTGCAGAGAGGTAACTGAGAAAGAGCGGGACATGGAGGCACATGCATGTAATCCCAGCACTTGAGAGGCTGAGGTAAGAGGATTGCTGTGAGTTCAAGGCCAGCCTCGGCTGCATAGCAAGACCCTGTCTCAAAAAAAAAGGGCCGGGGATTTAGATCTATGGTTTGGCTGCATGCTGCGCAAGGGCAAGGACCCGAGTTCGATCCCCAGTACCAAAAACAAGGATAAAAAGAACACTATTTCTAACAGGAGCCTGAGGAGTCCTCTGTTCATTTAAGGACACAGTAATAAAAAGGAGGTTGCTATAACTCACGGAGACACCCTCGAAGGATGAGGAATTCATCGCCCGGTAGATCTGGTCGGTAATGGTCTGGTTGTTGTAGTTGAAGTCCTCCAGGCGCACACCTGAACGGCCACCTCCTCCAGACGTCTTGTTCAAGGCCAACGCCAGGGCCCAGATGGCATCATAGGCCAGTGGTGCCTCCTGAAAGCCTCCAGTCTCCTCAGGGTGTCTTTTGAGTCGCTTGGTTAGTTTCTCCACAAATTCCTGGGATGTCTAAATAGGGAAGAACAAGAGGAAAGGACTGGCATATGTGTGGGTGCAGCAGCCAGGGGCCATCCACTTCTAGCTCGAACGCTTCAGCTGGAATAGAGGGTCCGTGTCCCTGTTTTCAGGTAGAACACATCCAAGCCACGCCTTTACCACACACTTGTCAGTCGTAGCCAAGAAGCTACTGGGCTTGGGCAGGCACTGGAGGGGCCAATGGTCTCAGTGTGCCAGCTGCTAACTCAGAACTACAAACAGAGAAGTGTGATGAATAAACACTCGAGATCATGAATAGCAAAGGACAGAAAGAGGCAGAGCAAAGGAAGAGCTGTGGCACTGCAACGAAGACGTGTGATGCTGACACATTCTCATCCTTCAGACTCTGAGTGGAGCTGACCCCAGATCTAACAGCTCCTCCAACTCTGAAAAATCCTAGAAAAGACGACAACACGACTTTCTCACTCTGTGCGCTAACTTCTTGCCATCCTGGTGTGACTTCGGTTCACTGACTCTTGGAGGGTTTTCAGAAGACCGGGGACTTCAGAAACACCCTTCACACTCTTGAAGCCTGTTATTCAATTCCACCCACACCTCTCTCAACATTCAACCTTCTTTTTCCAAGAAAGCTAAAAAGAATGCTGGTTCTTTAACGCTCATGAGATGGATCAACAAACCTACCTGACACTGGATCGCTAATGATAACCTTGTTTGCCTTAATAACCATGGGTGAATTGCTTGGTATCTTGGACTATCTTCCATACAAGGAAGAAAATCACATCTTCCTTTCCATACCTCCCAGAAACCACACAAGGAAAAGCTTACCACTACCTCTGGCAAAGCACAAGCATTACACAGGGTTACCATACAAACAACTGTTTAAATCTGGAATATGTTAACACACACAAATTCTCATGCAACGAATAGATAAATGAAGAATAAATACCTTTTTCTCCTCACACTCTGATCACTTTTTTTTCCTTCTATCCAACTTCCTGGAAGTAGCCAGCCACAGTCCAAATGGCTTGGGCTTTGAAGACACACAGATTAGACTCTACTACTACTGAGGACAAGGGCAACTTCCATTCTTCTCTAACACTAGCCCTGTGCCCAGTCCACAATAAACAAACAATAAACGTCCACTGGAGTAGGACAATGAAAATGCTCTGCATGCTATTCTACTGGTGGATGCAATACATGTCTATACATTTGTACAAAACTAGAGAATGTGCAACACCAAGAGTGGGCTCTAATGTAACCACAGACTTTGAATGACAAGGACCTGCCAACGCATTTCCTCAGTGGTAACCAATGTACCACTCTAGTGGGCAATGCATGTAACAAGAAAGGCTATGAATGTGAATCTAAAACTGCTCTTTAAAAAAGCAATGTATGGGACTGGGGATGTAGCTCAGTGGTTCCGCCGCCTGCCTCGAAAGCATAAGAACCCGAGTTCAATCCCTGGTACCCCCCACCCCAAAAAGCAATGTAAACATATACTAATAAAAAAATAAATTTCTAAAAATAAAAGTCTTTATTTGTAGTTTTCCATTGACTAGATATAGATGGATCCTAACCCCAGTTAATCTACTTATCTACTATAAAATTTCAAACAAGTCATTAAATCTTATCAATTGACTATTCAGTTTCAAAATGGGTATACTGGCTTAAAGAGTTCATATGAGGATAAAATAAGTACATGTGTAAAACACTGAAAGCTGGGAATGGTGGTGCACTCCTATAATCCTGGCATGCAGGAGGCTGAGGCAGGAGGATCGCTGCAAATGTGAGGCCAGCCTGAGCTACATAGCAAGACTCTGTCTCAAACAACCAAAACATGAAACAATTTCAAAACACAGAAATGTACAATGTAACACAATAAAATGCTGAGTATAAAATAAGTTACATCTTCTCTCTGAAAATTTCTCCCTTTCAATCTCATCTTTGATTACTGATACTCAAATCTGTAATTCCAGCCCACTATCTTAAGCCCTATATTTCCAACTAACTGTGAAGCACTAATAACAGTATGGTCAATAATCTCAAATTCAAAATACCCGAAACTGGTCTGGTGTGGTGGCACACACCTGTAATCCCAGCACTCAGGAGGATCACCATGAGCTTAAGGCCAGCCTGGGCTACACAGTGAGACCCTGTCTTCAAAAAAAAAAAGTCAAAGTATTTGAAACCAAACTCAATTTTTCTTCACACTCCAATATCACTCAGTACATCAGACTGAAACCTGGGAATCACATTAGATGCTTTCAAATTACCAATTCTTCCTAATCATTAGGTTGAAATGTTTCATTAAAATCCCTCCCTACACAGGACAACGTGGCTAACGTTTCTGCTGTCCTTACTAAGTGCCAGGCACTTTTCTAAGGCAATATATTGATGTGCTTAATGAACAATTCACCAGTAGACACAATGATTACCCCTGTTTTAGATAGGGCACTGAGGCAGAGAAGCTGCACGGCAAGTCTGGCGCTTGCAAAGTCTGACTCTCACCAGCCACCCTGCACTGTTCTGCACTGAAATGCCTCTCTCCAAAAGCACCTGCTCTCAGACAGCAGCTAACTCAAGACTCACTGAGCTTCCTCTGGCTTCTGGCTCTATCCAATCCTCAGTTCACAGTGCTGGCTGCATCAGGAAGTCACCCAGATGGGGAGAGATCTACTTGCTCGTGCGATATTTTCCGCTGCCCAAACCCTAAGCTCCCGGCTCGCTCCAGACTACCACCTCCAACACACCTGGCCAACAGGAACACCACTGCCCCACCATGACCCAGAGCTATGGAAAATCCATCTCCCCAAAAGGTATGGTTAGAAACGTTCAGAGAGAAATTCTACTGTGCTGCTAAGTAAAACTGAACAATAAAAATTTCACAATCCATAGAAATTAATTAACCAACTGCAAACGCATGACCCTAATTGCAATAGTCCTGTCCACCCACCTCGAGGTGTGGAAATGGATGCTCAGCGGCAATCAAACGTGTGTCCTGACCTAGCTTTTTAGTTGGCCTTACTTCACAGGTCTGAGGGACTCTCTACCCGATCAGGATGTGCTCAGTCCTCATCTTCAGGTACACTGCCTCCCACCTCCGCTCTAGGCTACAGCTGCACTTCTCCAAAACACTGTAACCACACTCCACCTCTACACTGACACTTTCGGCAGGACAGGTCTGTTCTCAGGGCCAAGCTGTGACCTGCGGGATAATAAGAAGCATCCTTGGCCTCTACCCACTGGACACCAGGAGCATCGGTCCCATCCTCAAATCTCCCATCCCGAAAGTGTCAACCAAAACTGTGTCCAGATACTACAACCTCTAGTTGAAAACCACTCCCCTAGTGTGATCCCCAAGGTAGTAGCATCAGCTTCTCTAGGATCTTTCTAAAAACTTAAATCTTCAGGCCTACCCTAGATCTACTAAGCCAGAACTTCTGGGGAAAGGGCTCAGGGATCTGTAAACTATCTTTCCAGGTGGTCCTGAAGCAAGCTAAGGGCTGGGAACTACTGATCTAAATAAACCTGGGCCTTTCCTATGGAGTCTGAGTCTCTATGGCTCTGCTCTCCTATATCCAACTCCTGCTTTGATCCACTTCTTTTGGTTCTACTTGATTCACCTATAACCTTCCCTGGTCAGTTAAGGCTTCTTCTATCCTCAATTGGAAAATCTCGGTTTCTCCACCTAGCAATTTAGGGCGGTGTCACTATAAGCCCTGTGGCCTCCAGGGCAGCTCTATTTGTCTCTAGAGATCAAGAGCCAGAAAGAAACATCTTGCTCCAAAGTTCAAGTCTCCTTCAAAGCAATTCTTGGCTTTCTTTGGGCCTCCTCCAGCTCCCTGCTATGGGACAGAAGCCACAGTTGGAAGGTGCTGGCTTTGGGACCCCAACAAGCCTTTCTGACTTGGGTAACCGCCCAACTGCTTTCCAGCTCTAAGGGGTGGCTTGCCTCTCAGGTGTTGTATAGGGAAGGTACTTTACAGTGGCCTTCCAGAATCTTTTTGCAAAGACACATTAAACACAGACAGTCCCCTCAGAACACCCAAGGCGAGTGAGTCTCTGACCAGAGTCCACATGGCAGCTGACCTTTCATCGCAATCCACTGCCAGAACCAGTTACCAACTTCTTGACCCTTATTTCTCCCTTGCTCAAAAACTCCCGTAAGGCCTGAGGATGTGACTCAGTGGTAGAGAGTCTGCCTACCAGGTGCTTCTTACTCTTCCATGGAAAAGGATGGGGCAGACCAGTCTAGAATTAGATTCAACTAGGACTCAGGTTCCAGCAGGACCACTCGAAGGCGCATGTGCTGGGACATTGCTTAGCCTGAGTCCCAATCCTCCCAGTTTGCAAGACTTAAATAAGAAATCTATACCATGTTGCTGTTAGGTCTGCTAAAATCATTAAGCTCTGAATTTACCACATAAAATCAATTGTTACTAAGACTTTTCTAAATAAGCTATTTGGGGAGCTTTTACCACTATTACCTCCCACCCCTGCACGCTCTCAAAAGCAGATATCCAGACCCACTGATATACACGGTGCAACAGCAGACACACAGATTACCCTACCCTGGATCCACACGCTAGGGCGCAGCGCTGAGCAGGCCACATCACACTCACCACGCCCCGGCCCTGCAGGGCTGCTTCCGCCTTCCAGCTCCCAGTCTATCACTAGCTGGCTAGCTGGGGCTAAATTACTTCAAAAATTTCTTTTGCATCTAAAATTCTAAAAAAAGAATCACTTGAAAAAAAAATCAGAATCCAAGCTAATTTTGTATCAACCATGAGTGAATATTAAGCAATTCCTGAGATAAGGATATAAGTCACCAAGAAAATAAAATATGTTTCTGCCCAGGAATAACACTCTGGTAAAGGTGTGCTTGCCTCTATGTTATCGTACACGAGCACCTATATTATCATTAAAGCTGCTCCCTCATTTGACTTCTCACCAACTGCGCCTTGTTTCCATGGTAACAGCCCTTCCGCTCATCAGGGACCTACTGAATATACCGCTCTCCTTTCTCGCTCTCTCCCGCCCACAGAAGTCAGAGCAGAGGTGGCATCCACAGGAGACGTGACACAAACAACTCCCAGCAGCGCAGACCCCTTCCCCTCTTATGCATGCCCCAAGCTCTCCATTCCCTGCCACGCTGCCGTCCCCTCTGCAGCCTGCACTCTCACCATGTTGGAAATGCTCCGGGTGTTGGCCGGGTTCAGCATGACAATCTCAGTGGTGATATGGCCCTCCACTGCCTCGGTCATCTCGTCTACTGTGCAGTTGATGGACGGGTCATACGTCTTGAACCAATTGTCAGCGTACCACCCAATGAGGAACCAGACATACTTCTTCCCAAAGAGCCGCTCCTTGTACACCTGCCCACAGAGAAGGGGAGCTGGGGTACGGGCTGGGGGTTTTGTGTCCATTCTCTCGCTGGACACTAGTAAGGCTCTTGGGAATCAGAGAAGAGCGGCAGAATTAAGAAAAGAAAGCTACAAGCCTGGGGTAACGGAAGGGGTTCAACAACCCCGCACCCTAAGGTCTTGCCGAGCTCCTTTGTCAGAGCGGTCTTTCCAGATAGCCAAGAAAGATGGGATCCACGGGCCAGCCAAGAACCAAAAGAGGGAGGAATGTGAGAAAGTACCACACGTGGCCATGCATGTGTGTATGTGTGCGTCTGTGTGTGTGCGAGAGAGAGAGAGAGAGAGAGAGAGCGCGCACGCGAGTGTGGGTACAGACAAAAGATGGAGTCAAAGGCACCGTATCAAGCATCACCTCAGTCATTTTGACTGCTATCAATTTGAACAGAGCCAAGGATTTAGCTCAGTGCCACCATGCTTGACTCAAAAGCGCAAAGTCCTGAGTTCGATCCCTAGTACCAAAAAAAAAAAAATTAAACAGAGATGTAGTAAGGAGACCCCAGAAAAAAACTAAGGCAGAGAGTCCACCTAGACCCACCTACACATCCCAACTCTACCTCACAAAACACTTTCCGGGCTTCGGTCTCATAGAAAAGTCCCACGATGATCCGGGCATCCTGGCGCTGCAAGTGGAGACAGGAAGAGCTCCGGAGGGTGCCAGCACGCCTGGGCCTGAGCCGGACACTCTCATGGCACTGCTCTCCCTCCCAAAGCGCTCAGTGCAGGACAATGGTCAATGGGCAGCCGGCGAACGAGCATCAGCTGGAAGACAGAGCTCATCGTCCCGAGAGGCTGCTGCCCCACAGAATCAAAGTGGGTCCCACTCAACTCTGCTCTCCAAGCCACTGGCCCCTAGCTGCCCCTCTGCACACAGAGCCCACCACAGTGAGCCAGCCCACCTTCAGGTTCTTGACCGGCACAGCCGGATCCGAGAAGAAACTCTGGCGGAAGGTAATCTCGATTCCAGCCTCCTTCACTCGCTCCTCTAGGTCATCCAGAGTCTAAGATGGGAGTGAGAGACAAATAGGAACATGAGGTGCACAACGGAGTAAACAGAGATGTTAACTGCAGACCACACTCAGAGTGCAGGAGAGGTGTCTGGAGTGTCCTCCAGCAGCTCTGCACCCAGGTGAGGGGCTCTGGGAAAGTGCCTCAGTTCCCGGAGGCAGCTTCTAGGTGGGTCCGTGCCAGGGATGCCACCCGATTCACCCTCGATTCACCCTCTACCACCGAGAGGAAAACACAGAGGAGCCACAAGAAGTGAGGCAGGGCCAGGGCCAGAGGGCACAGGGAGCAACTTCCCCTCAAGGGCAGGGGCGGATGGACAAAAGGTTCACAGAAGAACGGCCAGAGTTGCTGAGAAGCAGAGAAAGGAGGGTGAAGGGGCTGCTGAACACCAGTGGGCAGAGGACCCAGAGAAGAGAACAACGGGGGCAGCAGACAGCCCACGTCAGACCCCAAGCCACGCTCCCCTCTCCCCAAGTCCCCCGTCCCTTCGCCACTCGGGGCACCGGGGCACCGTGCCTCTGTCTGCCACCGTCTGCCACTGTCTCAGTGTGTTTGTCTCCAGCCTCCCGCCTCTCTCCCTCCGGCCCCATCACTCCCTTTCCTCTCCGCCCTATCTCCCTCTCCACCACCTTCACCTCTTGGTTCCCGTTCCCATCCCTGCTGCCTGACGTGAGCTCCCGGGATCCTATTTCCTATTCCCTTTCTCCTCTTGACTCAACTTGGAATCCAATCTACTTCAGTAGAACTGAGTCACTTTGGGTCTGTCAGGGGAACAGAGCATTGGCAGGAAAATAAAATCACAGAACGAAAAAGGTGGCCCCAAACCTCCACTGCCTTGTTCCCCGGTACAGAAAGAACATGCACTTCACTCACTTGGAATGTGTTCTTGGATTTAAAAACAAAACCGAGACTTCCCCAGATTGAATCCCACCTCCTCTCTCCACAGGACGCGGCACAGAGCACCCTCGCAGCGCCCCAGTCCCTCCTCACCGACGTGAAGACCTCCGTGGTCTGCTGGATGGTGGCAATCTTCCTCCAGCCCCACTTTTCAAAGAGCTTCACGCGGGTAGGGTTGTGCAGCGTGGCTGACGGGTGTGTGCGGAAGAACGTGGGGAAGCGCTGCCGGTTCGACAGCGCTGGTGAGCTGGAGCCGTAGGAAAGCTAAAGAGGGTTGAGGACAGTGCAGGCAAGAGAAGTCCGCGGTGGGCTCCTCTGAGGGCCCCTCAGAGCTCCTTTACCCTTTCCAGGCTTCTGGGGTTTTCTGCTCCCTCCCAACCTCCCTACTTGTGCCCTGAGAAAGGGAGTCTAGAAGGCCACATGCCCCTCACAATCAAGATGCTCTTGCTCTGATCGACTTCAGTTCCCTGTGATGAGGAACCAGGTGGGGCTGCTTTTGCACGGAGGCGGCAAGCTCAGGTATACACAGAGCCCTCCATCCCTGCCCGTCTTAAACACACACCCGCCAGCCGCACTTCGTACAGCCCCAGAGGGAGCAACCTCATCTTCTGACCCCGCAGGCTACTTACCACAATGAGGTTCCACATCCGGGCAGCCTCAGCCACAAGTGTAGAGACAGAGCTGCAGCCAGGCATGAGGATGATCTTGATGGGGTCGTTGTAGAGCAGCTCATACAAGTACTTGGTGGCTTGCCCTGGGTCACACTGGGTCAACGAGGAGGGGTGAGGGCAGGCTCCAGCAGGGCCCTCTTCACTCGTAATTCCTACGGCCTTATCTTCTCAGACAACCGGATTCCTTCTCAATTACCCTCCTTATTACAATTACCACATTCTTTTCCTTCTTGACATCTGTTTTGTCAGATTTGCTTCTTCTGTCACTACAACCTCTTCTGTCTTCTGTCTGACCCCTTATCCCTCTCTGCTCCCGCACACCCCTCCTTCAGGATTAACCCACATTCTCTTTTCTGGCTCAGCCACCTGCCCGTCACCCCTGCTCCCCACCCTATGTTTCCATCCACAGGCATCTCCAGGTCCCACACAGCTTCCTCAAAGCCTGTTACGAAATTTCCTCCTTTGCCTCTGCAAACTCCCCCTTCCTCTCTCCCTTTTTTCAAATCTTCCTCTTTTCCCTCCTCTCTTTTCAGGGCTAGTGATAAGTAAACAAGTGAAAACAGAAACAAAACCAGTGGGGCATTTGCTCTGTACCCCTTCCCCTCCTGCTGGGCCCTACCATTTGACAGGTCCATTAGGAAAACAAGACACTGGGGGTTAGGCGTAGGGAAGAATCTAAGACAGGAAAGAATGGGGAGAAAAGGCAGAATGGAACTCTCCAGAAACTAGATGTTGCCTAAAAGAAAGGCACAGAGGTGGGGAAAGTAAGCAACTCAGAAAGCAGGAGAGAGCTGGAAGGAGGGGACTGAGCGGGAAGGAGGCGCTAGTCAGGGGTCTCCCCACAGCCTGTTCCCCTCCTGCTGAAACATGACATTTCGGACGCTGCTGGAGCCTCAAAGGAAGTGGAAAAGAAATGGCAGCCAGTGGGGAGCCACAGCAGAAGGGACACAGACAGGAAGCACAGGGGACAGGAGGGTGGGCTGGGGGCTGAGCGAGTAGAAAGCAAATAAAGAAGGTCCTCTGGAGCCTGCTCGCTCCCCACTGAGACCTGACATTCGGGACACTGTGGGAAGCTGGGGCGGGCAGGACTAAAGAACTAAGAGTCACCTGGACCCTGGGCCACCCCACCGTACCTCCTGCCAAGAGCAGTGCTCAACTACATTCTGAAGGCTCTCTCTTCAGGCCTTCCACTGGGGCGTCTCTGTGTGTCTTTGCCATGCTGGGGTTCCAGCTTCCTGCACTTTCCCGGCATCTCTTGCTCCAGATCCTGTGCCCAGCCTTCCCCAGATCCCTCAGCAACCCCCACCACTTCTCATCTGAAGAAATGGTCAGCAGGCACTGGGAGAACGGACACACAAGACCCTGGTGATGTCATCACTCCTACTGTGTGCAGTCTGCTTCTGTTTGTTCATTTTCTTCTTTCAAATCCCTTCAACACCCTATTCATCACCACAAACCCTTTCTCTGTAAGATTCTCTCCATTCTCCAACATGCTTCCTTCATTCTCCCCGTCCTCTGCTCTCGCAAGGGTCTGCACTTGCTGGCAGGGAAGGGTAATTCCAGGTGACACACTCCAGGCCCTTCTCGTCCCACCCTTTGCAGCTTCTGCTACCTTCCCTCTAGCTCCCTGCTCTCAGGTCACCCATCTGCTCCCCCACACCTGCAGGGGACCACCTGTCATGGCATGTGAGTGTCAGCTCCCTGCTTGGCCTCTCCATCACAAAGCTTGTACTTCCTTCCTCTCAAAGTCTGTCCTCATATCCACCACTTCCATCAATCATCCCTCTTGCTCCCCTAACATGTCTCCTCCACCAAAGCTGACCTATTTCTCTTCCTACCTCCCAAACCTAACAGCTAATTCTTCCCTGTACCCTGCTGCTCTTTCCATCGGCACCCTGGGGTGAGAGACAGTTCAGGCATCCACCAGGCAGGGTTTCTGTTGGTAAAGATGCAGGTGCTATTTGGGATTCCTCTCTGACCAAAGAATTTGAATCTGTATTTCCAACTAACTCCTCTGGTGGCTCTATGTACACTGATGTTTGAGAAGTCCAAATGGATTTTAAGTTCTCTCTCCAAGCTCCTAATAATCCTTGTGTTCTCCTCTCCACCCAGCTGCACCCCTATTCCTAGCCCCTCTCCCCTCACCTGCCTATTTTGAGATGTGTATTCATGTCCTAGAGAATGGGGATAAGTCCCTGGCACACCCTAACCCTCACCTCTGTCACCCACCTCCAACCCCTTAACCCTCTGGGGCCACATGTTAGAGATCAATCCCCTTCCTTCTCTGTGGCATATCTTTGCCCGCTCCCCAGCTGTTCACTTTGGATTGACAGCTGGAGGGAGTTATTAACCTCTAATATCCCTGAACTCACATTTTCTTGCCTTCCTCTTCTCCTTTCTCTCTCCTTCTAACCCTTTACCCCATTTTCATCTCAAATCCTAGAGGCCACGGTGCCAAAGGGGAAGGTAAAGTCATGGCCCAAGCTCCACAGGATGCCCCAGGACCCCTCCAGAGGGGAGCCCTCCCGATCACCGACCACCATCCCTCCTTCCTCCCTTCTCCACTCCACTCTTTTCCATTCTCTTTCTTTTCCTGTATCCTGACTCCTCTACACCCCCACGCTGTCGTGAGGGCCCCACCTCTTGGCCCTGTCTCTCCCACAGCTCATACATTTCCACAAGCTATGAATCCTCAATAGCGTTGGGATAGAGGGACTCGGAGTCAGGGAGGGCTCACAGCTACCTCGCTGTTTGTTTTGGTAAATAAACTAGAGCTCTCAAGTCCCTCGAAATTTCCTCATTCTCTCCCTACTCCTCCAGCCACAACCTACGCAAGACCTACCTTGTTCCCATGGTAAACGTAAACCCTGCTCCAGCCCCCACCTCTGACGTTCCTTCCAGCCCCCAACCCAACCCAGGATTAGTTTACTTTCCCAGGGAACCGGGATCAGCCAAGACCCTAAATTCACCACCCATCTCCCCAAGCCCTACACCTCCGAGAGCCTCCCCCTGCAGGGCAAAAGCTGACTAACATCTGAACCCCTAGACCCTCATCTGCAGCCACCAGTCCTGCCACCCTCCCCAAGCTCCTAAGCCCCAGGTCACCGCACGCAGGCCACCGGGGAGTCTGCCTCGAAGTCCCAGAGGGACCGGAGCGCACGGCCTGGCCCCTGCCCCAAGCCCCTCAGGCCCACTCCCACGCGCGGGCTACCTTGCTGTCGTGGTGGATGAGCTTGAGCTCGTAGTCCGGCAGGATGTCCCTGCGGCTGTTCACGTCCTCCAGCGCCATCTCTACCGCGGGCTGGCAGGCCTGGCCCCCGGGCCAGCCCCCGCTCATGGGGAACAGCGCCCCGATGTAGACTGCGCGCCGCTCTGGGGAGGGGTGCGGGGGGACCCTCGGGTGAGGACGCGGGGGGTGCGGAGTCTGCGAGGCCCACAGAGGGGCCAGCCCCGCCGCCAGCGCCACCAGAAGCGGCAGCGGCCACCCCAGCCAGGGCCACCCCGGCCGGGGAGCGGCGGGCCCCGAACCCATGGCGGGAGGAGAGGCGCTCAGGGGGGACACTTCTCCCGCGGAGGGCTGCTGAGGGGGCGCTGGAGGGGCGCCTCCATCCCCGGGGTCGGGGAGGAGCAGGCCAGGCCCCGAGGAAGCACGCAAGGTAGGCTGCCCGAGCCTGGGCTCTGGCCACGCCAGCCGCGGCCGCGGACTCTCCGCGCTGACTGACGGAGGAGACTGAGGAGG